GATGCAGATGTCCTCCATACGTATCCTGGTGGGCAGACATGGACGCAGATATCCTCCATACGTATCCTGGTGGGCAGACATGGACACAGATGTCCTCCATACTTATCCTGGTGGGCAGACATGGACACAGATGTCCTCCATACTTATCCTGGTGGGCAGACATGGACGCAGATGTCCTCCACACTTATCCTGGTGGGCAGACATGGACGCAGATATCCTCCATACCTATCCTGGTGGGCAGACATGGACTCAGATATCCTCCACACACTTATCCTGGTGGGCAGACATGGACTCAGATATCCTCCACACTTATCCTGGTGGGCAGACATGGACTCAGATGTCCTCCACACTTATCCTGGTGGGCAGACATGGACGCAGATATCCTCCACATTGATCCTGGTTGGCAGACATGGACGCAGATATCCTCCACACACTTATCCTGGTGGGCAAGACATGGACTCAGATATCCTCCACACTTATCCTGGTGGGCAGACATGGATTCAGATATCCTCCATACTTATCCTGGTGGGCAGACATGCCCACCATCACCAGATTTCACCACCACTGCCCAATGCCACTCCTCCCCTGCACACCACCACCACCAGCTTTCACCACGGCTGCCCAACACCACTCATCCCCCACATTGCCGCCACCACAAGATTCCACCACCACTCCCCAATGCCACCCCTGCCCCGTGCCACCCCCACCATCACCAGCTTCCATCACCCTTCCCCGCCACCACCACCACTGCCCAACGCCACCTGTCCCCTGCGCGCCGCCAGCACAAGTTTCCACCACCACTCCCCAATGCCACCCCTACTCTGCGCCAACACCAGCTTCCATCGCGTCCCCCGCCACCACCACCAGCTTCCACCACCGCTGCCCAACACCACCAGCTTCCACCACCACTCCCCAATGCCACCCCCATCCTGAGTCACCACCGCCACCACCAGCTTCCGCCACCGCCGTCACCACCTGATTCAAAAACTAACCTTAACTTGAATGAAAGAATCAGCCGGCCAACCTCCAACAGCATGCAGCCTCCTAGCGGAGCATGGCAGAGCTCTGGCAGTGCCTCACCATCCCTGCCACTTGTGTCACTTACTGGGGGGGAGTCGCTGCCCCCCTGAAACTTGCTGCCCCAGGCAAACGCCTTGTTTGCCTTATGGTAAATATGCCGCTGGACTGACTGCAAGGAGACATGGGTCATGTAGTCTTAGAATGGCAAAAGCTGAATGCAGGAAGCTGATGTAGAAGCTGCACTGCTGCCTATTCTAAAAAAAGGAGCACTAAGCTAATGTTAAACCCAAAATGTCATATATTGCAGCTAACCAATCATTGGATGTGGTGACTGCATTCGTTTTTCTTCTTTTAGGCTTTTCTTCCCTCTATTTCACCTGGTGATCTGTCCAGTAACACACCTCCTGTATTAGAGCGCCCCAACTCTGGATGAAGGAGCACAGAGGACACCTTTTGACAGCAGTATTATCAGTCTGGGGGGGGGGGGGAGTGTTGGATGGACTAGCAGATTTAGATACACTAACAAACTGAAGCCAAACTCCAGCTCGCACTTTATTATTGGTTAGTTTTTTATTAGTTTTTTTTCCTCTTTGGAATAAAGGTTTTTCATCCATAAATAAAAGTTGATTATCGTAAGCACCCCTGTCAGTGGTAAATAGTTTGTCTCATCTCTGTATCTCCTACATCTGCAGGAGAGCTTGTTCTGTAAAAAAAAAAAACAGCAGATTTGCTGGCCGGATCACCAGATGAAAATAAAGGAAAGAAAGCTAATGCAGCCACCACATCTAAGGATTGGTGAGCTGCAATGTCATCAATATTCACATTTTGGTGTAATGCTGCTTTAAAACCTATTCTGCAACTTTTCTATAATTTCCCGTAAATCTCCTCCGTCTAAAAGCGATGTTTTACGGATATTTCACAGCCCTTCAAAGCAAGTACGTGGTCCTGGGCTTTAATTTAATTTAGAAATGATCATGGCTGGCGGGATATTGTCTCGGAGCGGAAGTAATTGTATTGGATTAGTTAATGCACATTATATTTATCTGGGAAAAACATATTCATTGATTGACACCTGACATGACATGCGTCCCAAGTGCTGTGGAGCGCATGGAGGGGAGCGTGGAGGACGGTCCGTTCACCCATGACATATTGTTTAATGCATTCTAATGGAAAACATGGGATGATAATTATATAACTAGGAGCTACAAATGACAAAACAGTCGGATAGAATACAAAAAAATGACTATATATATATATATATACATTGTTATATACACCGATCAGCCAGAACTTTATGACCACCCACCAAACTCATCGAGGCATGGACTCCACTGAGGTATCTGGCACCAAGCCCTTAGTAGCAGATCCTTTAGGTCCTGTAAGTTGGGTGGTGGGGCCTCCATGGATCGGACTTGTTTTTCCAACAGATGCTTAATTGGCTTGAGATCTGGAGAATTTGGAGGCCAAGTCAACATCTCAAACTTGTGTTCCTCAAACCACTCTTGAATTCATCAGACCAGGCCACCTTCTTCCAAGGTTCTGTGGTCCCGTTCTGATGCTCATGTGCCCATTTGTAGGCTGTGGACATGGATCAGCATGGACACCCTAACCGGCCTGCGGCTACACAGCCCCATACACAACAAACTGAGATGCTCTGTGTGTTTAGCCATAACTTTATGACCACCCACCATAACCCTTCGAGGCATGGACTCCACTAGACCTCTGAAGGTACACTGAGGTATCTGGCACCAAGCCCTTAGTAGCAGATCCTTTAAGTCCTGTAAGTTGGGAGGTGGGGCCTCCATGAATAAAAACTTGTTTTTTCCAACAGATGCTCAATTGGATTGAGATCTGGAGAATTTGGAGGCCAAGTCAACACCACAAACTCGTGTTCCTCAAACCACTCTGGAATTCATCAGACCAGGCTACTTTCTTCCAAGGCTCTGTGGTCCCGTTCTGTTGCTCACGTGCCCATTGTAGGCTGTGGACATAGGTCGGCATGGGCACCCTGACTGGCAAGCAGCTACACAGCCCCATACACAACAAACTGTGATGCTCTGTGTGTTATGACACCTTTCTATCAGAACCAGCATTCACTTTTTCAGTAATTTTAGCTCCAGTAGCTCTTCTCTTGGATTGGACTACACAGACCAGCCTTCCCTACCCACCTCCATCAATGAGCTTTCCCACCTCCATCAATGAGCCTTCCCTCCCCACCTCCATCAATGAGCTTTCCTTTCCCACCTCCATCAATGAGCCTTCCCTCTCCACCTCCATCAATGAGCCTTCCCTCCCCACCTCCATCAATGAGTGTTCCCTCACCACCTCCTTCAATGAGCCTTCTTTTCCCACCTCCATCAATGAGGCTTCCCTCTTCATCTCCATCAATGAGCCTTCCCTCCCCACCTCCATCAGTGAACTTTCTTCCCCACCTCCATCAATGAGCACCCCCCACCTCCATCAATGAGCCTTCCCTCCCTGCCTCCATCAATGAGCTTTCCCCCCCACCTCCATCACTGAGCCTTCTCTCCCACCTCCTTCAATGAGCCTTCTCTCCCACCTCCTTCAATGAGCCTTCTCTCCCACCTCCTTCAATGAGCCTTCTCTCCCCACCTCCTTCAATGAGCCTTGTTTCCCCCACCTCCATCAATGAGCCTTCCCTCCTCACCTCCATCAATCATCAATGAGCCTTCCTTCCCCACCGCCATTAATGAGCTTTCCCTCCTCCACCTCCATCAATGAGCCATCCCTCCTCCACCACCATCAATGAGCTTTCCCTCCTCCACCTCCTTCAATGAGCCTTCTCTTCCAACCTCCTTCAGTGATCCTTCCCTCTCTACCCCCATCAATGAGCCATCCCCTCCCTACCTCCACCAATGAGCCTTTCCTCCCCACCCCCACCAATGAGCCTTGGTTGCCCATCATCTTGCCACTGGTTGGCCGGTTTTCCTTCCTTGGAACACTTTTGGTCGGTCCTAACCACTGCAAACCAGGAACATCCCACAAGAGCTGCAGTTTTGGAGTTGTTCTGACTCAGGTGTCCAGTTCTTACAGTCTGGTCCTTGTCAAAGTCCTTCAAGTCCTTACACTTGTCCATTTTGTCTGCTTTCAACACATCAACTTCAGGGAAAACATGTTCATTTGTTTCAGATGTAATTGTAATGAGATAATCACTTTACCTGCCAGTGATCGGTATGTTACCTCTGACTGGTGTATGAATGTCTGGTCTATCTATAGACAAAAAAAACAAAACAAAAATAATGACAAAACTAAAAAAATGCTCCAGTTTCCAATGTTGGATCGATGTTAGTAAAAAGAACAATCTTGTTACTGCAGACAAAAAGTCTAAATTGTATTCTATGATTTCATCTGTAGAAAATGCCGGCAACATTCCGATTCTGGAACAAAGACCCGCAAAGTCATTCACAAATGAAATAAAGGATTTTTCTTTTCAGTTTTGCTGTTTTTTTTTTATTGCAACAAACAATTACAATTACCAAAACAAAAGAGATAACAATGGAAAATCAAAGATTCAATAGTGATGGTTAGAAAACCAGGAATTACAAAACAGGAAAATAATAGGTGCGGGAGCGGGGGAAGGGAGGACAGGTGTGTGGCTCTGTATGCTGGATGTCGGGACACTTGGGACCCCCCCACGTGTCAGGGTGTCATTGTTCTGGGACCCCCCAGGGGTCAGGGGTCATGGGTGTCATTGTTCTGGGACCCCCAGCTGTCAGGGTGTCATTGTTCTGGGACCCCCAAGTGTCAGGGTATCATTGTTCTGGGACCCCCAAGTGTCAGTGTGTCATTGTTCTGGGACCCCCAGGTGTCATTGTTCTGGGACCCCCAGGTGTCATTGTTCTGAGACCCCCAAGTGTCAGTGTGTCATTGTTCCTGGAACCCCAAGGTGTCAGTGTGTCATTGTTCTGGGACCCCCAAGTGTTAGTGTGTCATTGTTCTGGGACCCCCAAGTGTCAGGGTGTGTCATTGTTCTGGGACCCCCAGTGTGTCAGTGTGTCATTGTTCTGGGACCCCCAGGTGTCAGTGTGTCATTGTTCTGGGACCCCCCAGGTGTCAGTGTGTCATTGTTCTGGGACCCCCAGGTGTCAGTGTGTCATTGTTCTGGGACCCCCAAGTGTCAGTGTGTCATTGTTCTTACCCCCCCAAGTGTCATTGTGTCATTGTGCTGGACCCCCAGGAGTCAGTGTGTCATTGTTCTGGGACCCCCAGGTGTTAGTGTGTCATTGTTCTGGGACCCCCAGATGTCAGTGTGTCATTGTTCTGGGACCCCCAGGTGTCAGTGTGTCATTGTTCTGGGACCCCCAAGTGTCAGGGTGTTAGTGTGTTCTGGGACCCCCAGGTGTCGGGTGTGTCATTGTTCTGGGACCCCCAGGTGTCAGTGTGTCATTGTTCTGGGACCCCCAAGTGTCAGTGTGTCATTGTTCTGGGACCCCCAAGTGTCAGGTTCAGGGTGTTAGTGTTCTGGGACCCTCAGGTGTCAGTGTGTCATTGATCTGGACCCCCAAGTGTCAGGGTGTCATTGTTCTGGGACCCTCAGGTGTCATTGTGTGTGTCATTGTTCCGGGTCCCCAGGTGTCAGTGTGTCATTGTTCTGGGACCCCCCAGGTGTCAGTGTGTCATTGTTCTGGGACCCCAAAGTGTCAGGGTGTCATTGTTTATGGGACCCCCCTGGTGTCAGGGTGTGTCACTGTTCTTGGATCCCCCAGGTGTCAGTGTGTCATTGCTCTGGGACCCCCAGTGGTGTCAGTGTGTCATTGTTCTGGGACCCCCAAGTGTCAGGGTGTCATTGTTCTGGGACCCCCTGGGGTCGGTGTGTCACTGTTCTTAACCCCCAGGTGTCAGTGTGTCATTGTTCTGGGACCCCCAAGTGTCGGTGTGTCATTGTTTCTGTGACCCCCAGGTGTCAGTGTGTCATTGTTCTGGGACCCCCAGGTGTCAGTGTGTCACTGTTCTGGGACCCCCAGGTCAGTGTGTCAGTGTGTCATTGTTCTGGGACCCCCCCAGGTGTCAGTGTGTCACTGTTCTGGGACCCCCAGGTGTCAGTGTATTGCTGTCTTTGCATTGTCAGTGTTTCTTCCAATCACAGGTCATTATCTTTGCTCCCTTGTCCCTTTAGGACCCGTTCTTGGACCCTCGCCCCACACTTGGTGTACATGGTTGCCCTGCGGTGACCCAGCAGCAGCACAGACAGTATGCTGGAAGTCATTGCAGACCGGTAGTAGGGCCTCCGGTGCGATCCCGCTGCCGCCGCTGCCTGCCGGCTATAACAGACTTTCTATCTGAAACTTGACAGAGCTAAATAACACAAGAAAGGCTGGCAGTCGGGTGGCAGTCGGGTGGCAGTCGGGGACGTCGCTGACGGCTTCTTCACGGCCAACATCAGCCCAAGGTTGTCATAATGCAGCAAAATACTTTTGTTTCAATATAAATGCCGGGGATCTGAATGGCTGCCAGCTCTGGGAATTGTTCCAGGTAATCGTTCACTAACGCTGCCAATCTCTTTCCAAGATATACGCCGTGTTTTCCTTCCACCATGGAGCCCTCCATTACGCCTCAAGGCCAAGAACGCCGCTGACCAGCAGCCTGGGATATTAGTCCATCATACAGCCAACTGGCTATTAAATGAAGCAGGAAATCCGCGATACGTTGCTGGTGGAGGATGATTGGTGATCGCCAATTGGGACCGCAGGAATCGCTCAGAACGTGGTCAAAGTCAATGGCAGGGAGTTATTATGTGAGAACCCCCAACGCCCAGAAATCCACGGAGGAGATTATAAGGAGAACAGCTGGGAAAATAATGTCATGGCGGCTTTCACACAATCGCAGCTTCACCGACCACATTACATGATTCACCGGGCCGAGAAAATGAGACGTCAGTGTTCACCGCCACTGGGACCAGCTGGGACTGAAAACTGAGACAATATCCTCCCTGTAATTGCAACACTGACCCTCCCTGTAATCCCAACACTAACCCTCCCTGTAACCCCAACACTAACCCTCCCTGTAACCCCAACACTGACCCTCCCTGTAATCCCAACACTGACCCTCCCTGTAATCCCAACACTAACCCTCCCTGTAACCCAAACACTAATCCTCCCTGTAACCCCAACACTGACCCTCCTGTAACCCCAACACTGACCCTCACTGTAACCCCAACACTAACCCTCCCTGTAACCCCAACACTGACCCTCCCTGTAATCCCACACACTAACCACCCCCTGTATTCCCAACACTAACCCTCCCATAATCCCAACACTGACCCTCCCTGTAACCCCAACACTATCCCTCCCCTAATCCCAACACTGACCCTCCCTGTAACCCCAACACTATCCCTCCCTGTAATCCCAACACTAACCCTCCCTGTAACCCCAACACTAATCCTCCCTGTAACCCCAACACTGACCCTCCCTGTAACCCCAACACTGACCCTTCCTGTAACCCCAACACTAACCCTCCCTGTAATCCCAACACTAACCCTTCCTGTAACCCCAACACTAATCCTCCATGTAACCCCAACACTAACCTCCCTGTAACCCCAACACTAACCCTCCCTGTAATCCCAACACTAACCACCCCCCTGTATTCCCAACACTGACCCTCCCATAATCCCAACACTGACCCTCCCTGTAACCCCAACACTATCCCTCCCTGTAATCCCAACACTAACCCTCCCTGTAACCCCAACACACTAACCCCCGCTGTAATCCCAACACTAACCCTCCCTGTATCCCCAACACTAACCCTCCCTGTAACCCCAACACTGACCCTCCCTGTAACCCCAACACTAACCCTCCCTGTAACCCCAACACTAACCCTCCCTGTAACCCCAACACTGACCCTTCCTGTAACCCCAACACTAACCTCCCTGTAATCCCAACACTAACCACCCCCTGTATTCCCAACACTAACCCTCCCATAATCCCAACACTGACCCTCCCTGTAACCCCAACACTATCCCTCCCATAATCCCAACACTGACCCTCCCTGTAACCCCAACACTATCCCTCCCTGTAATCCCAACACTAACCCTCCCTGTAACCCCAACACAACACTGACCCTCCCTGTAACCCCAACACTGACCCTCCCTGTAAACCCAACACTATCCCTCCCTGTAATCCCAACACTAACCCTCCCTGTAACCCCAACACTGACCCTCCCTGTAACCCCAACACTGACCCTTCCTGTAACCCCAACACTAACCCCTAACCCAACCTAACCCTCCCTGGTAACCCCAACACTAACCCTCCCTGTAACCCAACACTAACCCTCCATGTAACCCCAACACTAACCTCCCTGTAACCCCAACACTAACCCTCCCTGTAATCCCAACACTAACCACCCCCTGTAACCCCAACACTGACCCTCCCATAATCCCAACACTGACCCTCCCTGTAACCCCAAAACACTATCCCTCCCTGTAATCCCAACACTAACCCTCCCTGTAACCCCAACACTAACCCTCCCTGTAACCCCAACATTAACCCTCCCTGTAACCCCAACACTAACCCTCCCTGTAACCCCAACACTGACCCTCCCTGTAAACCCCAACACTAACCCTCCCTGTAACCCCAACACTAACCCTCCCTGTAACCCCAACACTGACCCCCTGTAACCCCAACACTGAACCCTCCCTGTAACCCCAACACTGACCCTCCCTGTAATCCCAACACTAACCTCCCCCCCCCCCCTGTATTCCCAACACTAACCCTCCCTGTAACCCCAACACTATCCCTCCCTGTAATCCCAACACTGACCCTCCCTGTAACCCCAACACTAACCCTCCCTGTAACCCCAACACTAACCTCCCTGTAACCCCAACACTAACCCCCCCTGTAACCCCAACACTAACCCCCCCTGTAATCCCAACACTAACCCTCCCTGTAACCCAACATTAACCCTCCCTGTAACCCTTAATACTACCCCCCCCCCCTGTATTCCCAACACTAACCCTCCCTGTAACCCCAACACTAACCCTCCCTGTAACCCCAACATTGACCCTCCCTGTAACCCCAACACTAACCCTCCCTGTAACCCCAACACTAACCCTCCCTGTAATCCCAACACCGACCCTCCCTGTAACCCCAACTCTAATCTTCCCTGTAACCCCAACACTGACCGTCCCTGTAACCCCAACACTGACCCTCCCTGTAACCCCAACACTGACCTTCCCTGTAACCCCAACACCAACCCTCCCTGTAACTCCAACACTGACCCTCCCTGTAATCCCAACACTAATCCTCCCTGTAACCTCAACACTAACCCTCCCTGTAACCCCAACACTAACCCTCCCTGTAACCCCAACACTAATCCTCCCTGTAACCCCAACACTAACCCTCCCTGTAACCCCAACACTGACCCTCCCTGTAACCCCAACACTAACCCTCCCTGTAACCCCAACACCAACCCTCCCTGTAACCCCAACACTAACCCTCCCTGTAACCTCAACACTAACCCTCCCTGTAACCCCAACACTGACCCTCCCTGTAACCCCAACACTAACCCTCCCTGTAACCCCAACACTGACCCTCCCTGTAACCCCAACACTACCCTCCCTGTAATCCCAAACACTGTAACCCTCCCTGTAATCCCAACACTAACCCTCCCTGTAACCCCAACACTAACCCCCCCCTGTAACCCAACACTAACCCTCCCTGTAACCCAACATTAACCTCCCTGTAACCCCAACACTGACCCTCCCTGTAACCCCAACACTAACCCTTCCTATAACCCCAACACTAACCCTCCCTGTAACCCCAACACTAACCCTCCCTGTAATCCCAACACCGACCCTCCCTGTAACCCCAACTCTAATCTTCCCTGTAACCCCAACACTGACCGTCCCTGTAACTCCAACACTGACCTTCCCTGTAACCCCAACACTAACCCTCCCTGTAACCCCAACACTAATCCTCCCTGTAACCCCAACACTGACCCTCCCTGTAACCCCAACACTGACCCCTCCCTGTAACCCCAACACTAACCCTCCCTGTAACCCCAACACTAACCCTCCCTGTAACCCCAACACCAACCAACCCCCTGTAACCTCAACACTAACCCTCCCTGTAACCCCAACACTGACCCTCCCTGTAACCCCAACACTGACCCTCCCTGTAACCCTAACACTAACCCTCCCTGTAAACCCAACACTGACCCTCCCTGTAACCCTAACACTAACCCTCCCTGTAACCCTAACACTAACCCTCCCTGTAACCCCAACACTGACCCTCCCTGTAACCCTAACACTAACCCTCCCTGTAACCCCAACACTAACCCTCCCTGTAACCCCAACACTAACCCCCCTGTAACCCCAACACTATCCCTCCCTGTAACCCCAACACTATCCCTCCCTTTTACCCCAACACTAAGCCTCCCTGTAACCCTAACTCTACTATCCCTGTAACCCCAACACTGACCCTCCTATAACCCCAACACTGACCCTCCCTTACTTTGTGAGGGTACAGGGAGGATTAGGGTTATAGGGAGTTCTATTGATGAAATTCCCCCCAGGGGGGCGGGCCCATGACAGCCTGGACTCTGAGCAAGTGGATTGAATGGACATCAGATCACCTGAAAGTCTGAGGTCATCTAGTGGCAAGAAAAATACTGTTGGGGGGGGGGAGCTTGGAATTGCAAGAAACATTGTTTTATTATTATTACTATTGTTATTTTTTTTTTTAAATTATTATTAGTAGTAGTATTATTATTATTGTTATTTTTATTATTATTATTTTTTTATTATTGTTATTTTTATTATTATTATAATTATTATTATTATTTTTATTTTTATTATTATTATTATTATTTTTTTATTATTATTTTTATTATTATTATTATTTTTATTTTTATTATTATTGTTATTTTTATTATTGTTATTTTTTATTA